GGGGAGCCAGCTTGCCGACCGCGGGGGCCCCGCCGGCCACCGCCGAAGGGATGCGCTGTCCTGCGGCCCAGTTGCGCGCCGGGTGCCTGGACACGGAGCGCCGGGAGAGGCCCCGCTCTGCAGCTCTGCAGCCGCGGGCGCCTCCTTGGTCTGCGATCTCTGCTCTGCTTTCCCCTCCCCTTCCTCCAGACTCTCCTCCCCTTCCCACGTCAGCAGAACCTTCGGTCCAGACTCTTCGTCAGAGGCGGGTGGGGGGAGCAGGGCCCAGGGAAGGGAGGGGATGGGGGCTCTGTCGTCTGTTTCCTGGGTCTGCGGGTCATTGCGGTAAAAAGGAAAAAGAGCTGAAGGATAGTAGCTAGGCCAGGCAGATGCCAGAGATCCCTCCTTAGCTTGCAACCCTTTGCCATCACTCACTCATTCAATCATCCACGCACTCGTTCATTAATCAGTACAATTTTATTAAGTATCTACTATGTTTCAGGCCTTGCGCTAGGCTTTGGGGATAACAGGGTGGACAAGATCCGTCTTGGGGGTGGTTACTGGGGAGACACTGATGTGTAAACGGGCAAGTACAGTACAACTTAGGCATGTGGAAGACTGAGTTGGCACTGTACTCAACCCTAGCTTTAGTCCTCTGCAAGGAGACAACTTCTCCTGGCTTCACCGACCCCTTCCTGGTTGAATCTCCATTTCTCAGCAGCAGTTGACACTGCTGACCACGTCTTCCTCCAAACACGCTCTTCCTTGGCTGCTAAGTCCAACATTCCGCTGGTTTTCTGTCTCCTGCTCTCCCTTTCTCCCTTGCAGGCTTGTCCTCCTCTTCTGGCCGATGACGCTGGTGGTGAGCACAGGCAGGCCATTGTAGACCCGATCCCTGAAGCAATGTCACTGGGGCAGAGCTATTGCATGAGTGGTCTGTGCTGGTGTTGAGGAGGCTGGTGGCTCTGGCTGCCGGGGCCATGCCTGTCTGCATCATTCAGACACCATCATTCAGTGTTTGCAATCGACAGAGGCTTGATCCTAGACCTTCCTCTCATCTCACACTTTTGTCTCCACCTTGGGGTTTCACCCATGCCCACAGCAAGACAGACAATACAAACCTGATTCCCAGAGTGACAGACAATACAAACTTGATTCCCAGAGTGACATCTCCAACTTCCACCTCCCTTCCTCTGATCCCCAGATCCATGAAGCCAGCTCTTATTTGATCTTTACCTTGGATGTCTCCTAGGGACCTGAAACTCGATACTTTTTTTTTTTTTTTT